ATTTGGAGCCCACTCTGTGTGTAGCGAGGGAGTGAAGTATCATCTGGATAAACTGCTTCGTCTCCCGCTTCTGGATCAGGTGCGAAATTAGGTCCTACGCGTTCTGCTTCGTCGGTGTTGACTTGTGCAGGTGTAACGTAACCGTTGTCGACGAAGTGGTAAAAGACTTCGGCGTTGTTGCTTTCGCGTGGATTTTCGTCATCCATTGGGACATCGACGGAGCAGTACGGGAGGGGTCCGGCTTCTTCCGAGGCTCCTTCCACGTTCTGCTCGTCCCAGTCAGCTTCGTCTTCTGTCGAAGCGAAGGCTCGGTCTCCACGGAAGCCACCTGTGGGGTCTTGGTTTTCGTCCAGGTTGGCAAGGTACGTTTGCAAGGTGAGCCGTGTCAGAATGTATTTGCTGTCTAGCCTGCAGTGGGGTACTCTGTAATGAGTACAACCCAATTTAGGGTGTTGTACTTGTATCCCAACTCTTGCTAGTGAAACCCTATTCCTCTCCTTCCAAAACCTCTCGATACTTTTCCTAAACTCCAACTCAACTACCAAGGCTCCTAAACTATGGCTCCTAAGCCAAACTCACGCTAGTTATTTAACAAGCCGCTCGTAGAAAATGACATCACGTGCTGCCACTATTTCTTTTGTCTCGACGTCGAAAATCTTCCATGCGTTGTAATGTTTTTCGATGCCCAGGTGTAGTCCCCACTGTGCCCGTTGGGAGAATCGTCCTGCTCGTGCAGATGGAGGTCGGTACTGTACCATGCAGCCGAAGACTCGTAACATTTTTGTGCTGCCCAGTTTTCCTGTCCACAGCAGATGCGGTGATGTGTTGTTCGGTAGTGACGACGAAGAAAGCAAGTTGTGCAGCATCACGGCGTGGTCCATTGCTTCTGGCCACTGGTGAGTGGGTAGCCGCATGCCACGTAACAGTTTCCGCATGGTGTTCTGGAGGGTCCTGTTCATCCTCTCTGCTACACCCTGCTGTTGATGGGCGTAGGGAAGGGAAATGAGCCGCTTGATTCCTCTCTCTGCCAGGTACTGCTTGAACCTTTGTGGGGTGTATTCTCCTCCCCCGTCTGACTGGAAGCTTTTTAGTTTGACGCCCGATTCCCTTTCTGCTACGGGGAGCCAGGCGACGAACGCTTCGAACGCCATATCCTGGCTTGGAAGATTCAGGTGCCAAACGTAACGTGTCGCGGCGTCGATGAACGTGATGGTGTAGTTGTACGTGTTCTGCCCCGGCTCGCGATTGTACAGGATGTCGCTGTACACCTTCTCGAGTGGCGCGTAAGCTGGTGCGCTTGGGTTATGGTGAGACGCGAACGGTCGATGTGGTAAGTCAGCTTCAGGGCAGGTGAAGCACGTTCCGCGTACTCGTTGAAGTTCTCTTCCGTCGGTCAGTAGTAGTGAGTCCTTGTCAAGTACTCCTGCTCTTATCGTATTGTTTAATACTGTGTTGCTTGGGTGTCCCATCCTTGCGTGCCAGGTGCTTTCGTCGGCTCGATGTCCAGGTGATCGTCGGTACAGATCGGAGTTGGAGTAGAAGTTGGCGGTGAAGTTGGCGCTACGATGAACTTCTCGTGGTGCTGGGTGTAGTTGTTGCGCGGGTGTCGGTGGTGTGTCGTCGATGAAGAGCGGTGCCGTTGAAGGACCAGCAATTGGTGTTGACGTTCCTGCTGCTGCCGTTGATGGTTCTGCTACTGCCGATGTTGTCTCTGCTGCTGCCGATGTTGTCTCTGCTGCTACCGATGTTGTCTCTGTTGCTGCTGATGTTGTCTGAATTGTTGCTAACGCCCTTGTTCTTTCTGCCTCAGGGATGGTGTGTGAATACCAGAAGCCTTCTGGACTGAAGTCTGGATCAAGGTCTGGAGGATGGGTCCAGGAGGTGAAGGTGACGATGCCGTCGCTGTCAGCTGTGCCAAGATCTGGGACAAAATCGAGAACGAAGACGTTGTTTTTTAGGATCGCCTTGCCGATGTAGAGGCCGCCCTTCCCGTGGTACAGCTTGAATTCCTGGGTGGTGCTGTCTGCCTCGAGGTGAATGCCCTTCGCCATCAACTGACTGACGCTCAGTAAGTTGTAGCCGAGTCCCTCCGCGATTAGTACCTTTGACATCTGCAGTATAACGTTTGTTTCCCTTGACTGAAGTTGAACTACGCCTTGTCGTCATGTTCGCAGGTTCTGATTGTTGGCGACTGTAATGACGACTTCGCGTTGAAGTTGGTGTTCTCGTTGAACGAAGCGTCCCGAGGAGCACATGTGCTGTCCGCAGCAACTGTCCAAGAACCATGTGTCCTTTCCGGATGGTTCGCTTTGGGCGATGGCGGCGTATGTCGGGTTCGGCTGAAGTGACTCGCGGCGGGGTGTGGTTTCGTCGAGTTGTTCTTCCGGTGAGTAGTGTGGTGGTGACTCGGTGATGCAGGAGTCACTCAGCTTTGCCATGCAGCTGACGATGTTTCTTGCTCCTTGTGCAGGTTGTCCCGTTGAAGTTGTTGAAGCTTGAACCTGGGTCGTGGGATTTGCTTGCGTTGAGGCGATTCGGCTGCTTGAAGGTCGAAGTTGCCGCTGTGGAGTTGTTGACTGTTGACGATTCGGGCAGTGCGTACGCGGATGTCCTGAAGTTTCGCAGATGTGGCAAAACGGAGGTACTGGCTTCGGTTGTTGCTGCCGGTTGTTGTTGTTGTTGTAGCGTCGCTGAGTGTGGAACGCGAATTCCGGTGCTGATGTCTTCTTTTTGTATCGTTCTTCTCGCAGGTCCATGTCTTGTTGCTCGGCGTGGATTTCGGCGCAGAGTGCTGCTTCGGAGATTCTTCCATGTGCTCGGAGAATAGCTTTCGTGGCGCGCCATTGAGGACCGAGGCCGCCGATGATAACTGTCACGAAGGCGTCTTCAGATATCGACCCTCCGCATCGAAGGAGCTTGTCGCGCAGTTCGCGACAGCGGCTGATATATGCCATCCCCTTTTCTCCCGGTTTCATTTCAACTGTTGTCAGTTGCGCCATTAACCGACTTTGACTTACGCTGTCTGTTGCTTGATACAGGCTCTTCAGGTGGTTGTACGCGAGCTCCGCGGAGTTGCCGTAACCCCGGTAAGATCGTTTGTTCTGCTGTTGAGTCGGGGTGATGTTCCTCAGTAGAATCGTGTACGCCATCATTGATTGATAGGTGTACTGCTGCTTCTCGTACTGTGTGCCGTTTGTTGGGTATGGCAAGGACCCGTCGAAGAAGCCAAGTATCTGCGCGCCTTCCATCATCAGCTCGAACTCGAACGACCAGGTGAAGAAGTCCTTTCCATCGAAGGGTCTTGACGTCTGCATCTTCAGAACGTGTGCGAACTGCGACTGAACTTGTAATGCGTCCAGTGACCTTTCTTGTCCAGGTGAAGGCTGCGGGTGTGGCATGAAGCTGATGGACCCGCGCTCGTACGGAGCAAAGGTAGGCTGCTGTTGTTGATTTCCTCGTGCATATGATGAGCCGTCGAGACTCATAGGCGTTGCTCCGTTGTTGTTGCTGTTGTGTGACTGCGCAGGTGCCGATTGCTGGTGTTGCTCGTAGAAGGACATGAAGGAGAAGAACTTCTCCATCATGCTCTGGTCGAAGTCTGCAGGTTGGTTCGTGGGAGTCTCGGTAGACGTCGCCCTTGGTCTCGTTGCCGTGCCCTCCTCTGTCTGTAGGCCAGAGGCAGGAGGTGGAGTAGGTGTAGTGCCCTGGGAGCCGTTGGAGTTGCTCCTTTCTTTTTGTGTAGCCATGCCTGTTGATGTTGTCGGTATAGAAGTTGAATTCCCCCTGATAGCTCTCATACCATGTTGGGCTGAAAAGGCCCTTAGGATCTTTTACAGGGGTGAACTCTGGGTAGAGTTGGTGTAGTAGCGGAAGCGTTAATTAAAGAGTTGTGAACCACCTTGCGCTAGTATGTGAGGGCAAAGTAAGTTGATTAAAACAAGGAGATACAAGAATATATATAAGAGTACAAGGAATACGAAGAGGTACAGTTGTAACTACTTTACTGTTGCTGTTGCGGTTCGATACAGTGACGACTCGGGCAACTGCTCTGTAGCGAGTCAATTGTGTGTCCTTGCTGTCGCGCTGTATTCGTCAGGTCAAAGGTCGCTGACCTTTGACTTCCCCGTAACCTCCAGCGGTTGCTTCAACCTCCGAGGGTTGACTCGCAGGTGCCTCGATATACTTTGCTTCGCTTTTCGACACGACAGAGGCGCTTAAGACCGATTGTTTCCAACAAAAACAACTACCAGCTCATGTTTTCTAATGGAACAGCACAATGCAAGAGGGATGATCAACGCAACACTTTGGCGGTGTTCGCCAGCACATTCGAAAATAGATGGCATTTTGACGGCATCGGCATGGTGACCGCATCTGGAAACGGGGGCGGAACCCGCCCAAGAGGTCTGGGCGTAATGCGGTCCGCGAAACTTCGATTCCCAAAACGGGAAAATTCGCAACCGCATATGGAACCCCCAGCCCCACCTTCCGCAGTTCCCCTCTGCCGTGCAATGCCACAGCCATGCCATCGCCATTCACCGTGGATAGGTGAATGGCGATGGCATCACAGGGGGGTGGTTTTTGCCAGGGGAGGAAACTGCGACCCCGTTTCCATATGCGGTCAAGCATTTCGAAATGGGTGAAAATTGGGGGCGTTTGCCACGCCCTCACTTTTCTAAGAGGTTCGGACGGCATAAGAGGCTGACCAGGCTGACTGACGGGATCAGGAAGGCACCTTCCTGATCCCGTCGTCATCCCCTCGTTTTTGCTTAGAAATGTGCTGGCGAACACCGCCTTTATCCGCACGCTATACTGATATAACCACAAGCTTGACCAATGCACAGATAAATTAGTGCTTAATCTTTTGGTTATGACTGGATTGGAGTCCTGTGACAAAGCATAAAAAAATGTGTCGGGATTTAGTCAAATTTCCAGTTCCAGTGCTATTGAATCCTCAGATGCGCAAATGCAGGGCAGGAAATTTTCCATTAATCGTGAGGCTATCACAACAAATGGGCAGAACCTCCATAACGAGCCAACAAGTCCAGCTCATGAGAATTGAAGTCCTCGTGAGACCAGTCACAACCACCTTCCACTGCAGACGGGGTTTCCTGCACCGACAACTGAAACACTAGGAACCCTGAAACCCGGAGAAAACGAAATACACACGCAAAACCGCCAAAAACCCTCCTGAAAGCTCGCAGCAGCAGCTGAAAGCCTGCTATGACGCCACCTCACATCCAGGCCAGGACTTTCAAAAGTGACAGTCCTCATGACGAGATGCCGAAAGATCGGAACACTTGACGAGCCCTCTTCTTCGACATCGGCCACTGTGACGCCTCGAGCCGCCGAAGACCGTCGGCACGACGAAATCTTCGACTAACGAAACCGTCGAGCTGGAAACTGGCACATCTCACGCGATCCGCCACCAATCCTCTTCCCCCAACAAACAAACGAAAAACATACGCAGAACTCCGTAAAACCCCAAGTCTATTCAGCAGTAAAAACCGAAAAAAGGCAGCTGATGGAAGAGAAAGGTAGACGCGGATTGAAGACATGAAGATGCGGCAGAATGGTAACGTTGAAGCGACGAAGCCGTAGTGTAGCTAGGAAGACGAAGCTTCCTTACTGCGCCCCCTGAGGGCAGTCACGGGCAATGTGGCCGGGCTGGTTGCAGGTGTAGCAAGTACGAGGAGCACCGCCACCGGCGCCGCCGCCCATGCCAGGGGTAGGGCAGTCGCGAGCAAGGTGACCGGGCATGTTGCAGTTGTAGCACACACCGGGTCCGCCGCCGAACCGTCCGCCGCCGCGGCCGCCGCCGAAGCGTCCACCGCCACGGCCGCCGAAGCCGCCGCCGCCGAAGCGGCCGCCACCGCCGCCGTAGCCGTCGCGCCTGGGAGCGCCCTTCACGTAGGAGCCAGCCGGGCCGGTAACGTTAACGGCCTTGGTGCGGCCGTCCTCGCTGGTCTCGATGGTGAACTCGACGACCTCGTTCTCGTCGAGGCTGCGGAAGCCCTCCGCCTTGATGCTCGTCTGGTGGACGAAGAGCTCCTCTCCGCCATCATCGGGAGTGATGAACCCGAAGCCCTTGGTGCTGTTGAACCACTTCACCTTGCCGGTCTGAACGCCGGGGGTGGCAGCGACATCGGGAGCGGCCATAGTTGAAAAGGTGAAGGGTAAGGTAACGAGGGAAAGGTGAGATGGCTCTGAACAAACTAGGCCTGAAATCAAAGCCTGTGAATGTAAATGAGGATTGCGAGAGCAGGTGAGGGTTTTCAAGTGATGCGGGTGCGAGGGAAGGGAGCCCAGTACGAGCAGGCTTGGTTGGAGAGAACTGGGTTTGGAACTTGGGTTGGAGGGCTGGGGAAGGGAGGAATCACGGTCCATCCACGGCTTTCCTATCTCAATGCTGTCGGAATCTGTTAAGCGCGCCTCGTACTGAAGAGGAAACAGTTCCAAGTTGAGCAGAGATTAGAAGCCTTATCAAGATGAGCGGTCCGATTATATGGATCTGGTAGTTCCTCATCAATGAAATCTTGTGAACCTTTTCCCGCCACTTTTCCTGTTGTTGGAAGAGGGTGCACCCCTCCGCAAAACCCCGGGGTTTCTGAACTTGGGGTTTCGTGCTAATCGGAGGTACTGTACTCGTCCTCGACATCTAGCCGTTTATTGACGTCCCCTCCATGTGATGTCGGTTGGGTGCACAGAAAAGGGCAACCTGCGAAGATATTTTTTGCCGCCGTGGCTTCCCCAGATTCTCTCAACTATTATGTGCCGTCAAATTGCTCACTTGTAAAGATCCAACGGCAGGTCACTGCTGTATAAACTTTTATCGGCCAACCCAAACATTACGAGTGGCTCAATGTCAGGCATATCTCGGTACAATCGCATTGCACTACTCTGCCAGCATGCAAAACAGCAAGCCTACGCTTCCCCACACCGCTCCGCCACAGCAAATCTGGGAGACCAAAAAAACTTGAGTTCTAATTTGTTCGCAATCAATCGCCAATACCTTGTGGTGAGGCTACACTTTGCCATGAACAATTTGTACACCCAACATTGTGGGGACCACCTGCCCGGAAAGGTACTCTACTAACACTCCATACCTGATGACCTTGACTGCCCCGTGCCTGGACCAAACCTGCAAATACCAAACCGAGTGTTTTCGTGTGAAAAGTTTTTACTCAACGGGGCTCAGAAAGTTGCAGAACGTATTTGCATGGTTCAGTGCAGTCAAGGCTCGGTTATGGAAACAAGCTCCACGCCTAGTGCACCATAACTGAGCTGTGCAGCCCACCAGATCACCCCTAGTGAGAAATCGTCCATGCCCGTCTGGTGCTTCTTCCTAGGCACTTAGGATTTTTGCCCTCCCTCCCTAGTTATACCACTGGATTCTCTTTCCCCTTTCTTTTTCTCCAGCAGCATTTCGCTTCTGTTGGGTTTTGGAGTTCACTGCTCCTAATAGCAGTGAGGAGACGTGGTTGCATTGAGAGTGACAACCACGATTGGAGTTGGAAGTTGTAGCATCAGGGTCAAATTAAGACGCAGAGGCTGTCTGCTTTATTTGGGTGAGGTTAATCTCGCGAAGCACAACCTTTCGCCATGGCGGCCAATGACGTTGATGCGGCCGCAGCCCCAGCTGCAGCGGGTGGCGTTCAGACCGGAAAGGTAAGAGCTCCCTGATGTTCTCTTAAGAAAATTATCAGTGCGGGAAAATTCTGTTGCGATGTTTTGCTGCCGTGGTTCGCTGGAAGTAAGATGACGGCGCGATGTGACGTTTAGATTTATTTTTCCTTTTCTTTTTTCGATGCACATCGAATCCTCGTTTAGATCTGGGGGATCGCTCAGCTGCACCTGCTGCTTTGGTGAACCCTCGCATGAATCCTTGCTCCTCAGCGACAGCCGTATTTCTCGAGGGTTTATCGTCAGCTACTGGTAGCTGTACTACACATCAACATCGACTGGGTGATTATTCGTATCAGAACTCACTCTCTGTCTAAATTACAGGCATGGGATTCGCTTCTGATCGAAGTACCTGACGCGCGTGGGGGGTCTATATGTAAATTCGGGTTTAAATTGACCTCTTACCTTTTTCATTTTTTAACAGCATTAAGGGCCTCCAAGGCCAGCCTGTTCTCAGTCTCACATTGTCCTTAACATGTAAACCTTCACCAAGTTCCTGGGTCAGAATCGAACCTTTTTCGAGCCTGACCGTCGTTTCTCTCTCGTCCTTCCAGAGTTGATTCACCAGTACGAAGAAATTCGGGTTTGCTTGCGTTCTACGACGTCAGCAAGGATCTCATGTGCTCGTGACGAGAATCAAACCTGAGGGATTCAGTCGCTAGATCCTTAGTGAATCGATTTCATGTACTTTCCCTCCCAGAAACGGTTCACCAGCACCAGGGGGTTGAGTTTCACCGCGTTCTTCAACGTCAGGCAGGAGGATCTCCTTCACCCCCACCCGAGAACCAATCTCGAGGGTTCTCGAAGCTAGATCCGACCTGATCCGACCATTTTCCAAACCTCATCTAAATCGCTCCCGAACCTCTTCCGAACCTGGTCGTGCAGGTGAAGTGGTTCAACAGCACCAAGGGCTTCGGGTTCATCACGCCCAACGACGGCGGCGAGGATCTGTTCGTCCACCAGACGAGCATCAAGGCGGAGGGCTTCCGCAGCCTGGACGAGAACGAGGACGTCGAATTCACCATCGAGACCGCCTCTGACGGCCGCACCAAGGCGATTAACGTCACCGGGCCCGGTGGCGCGTTCGTCAAGGGCGCGCCGAGGCGGGACAACTATGGCGGCGGCGGCGGGTACGGCGGCGGCGGGTATGGCGGCGGCGGTGGCGGGTACGGCGGAGGCAGGTATGGTGGCGGGGGGTATGGCGGGGATTTCGGCGGGGGTGGAGGATATGGGGGTGCGGGCGGGTACGGCGGGGGTTATGGCGGAGGACGCGGGGGGAGGTCCGGGGGGAGAGGCGGGGGTGGTAACTGTTACAGCTGCGGGATGCCTGGGCACATGGCGAGGGATTGCCCCCAGGGTCCGTCTGGTGGCGGAGGTGGTGGGGGAGGAGGGCGTTCCTGCTACACCTGCGGCCAGCCTGGGCATATTGCGAGGGACTGCCCCTCTGGCGGGCAGTAGTGTGATGGTGTGCTTATTAGGAGGTTGGAGTACAGGGGTGGTGCTTCTGGCGTGTGTGGTGTAGCCAGAAGGGGGTGTGCGTATGTGCATTGGATAAATTTCAATGTTCTATGTGCTAGATGGCAAGAATGGCGCTGTTCTGTAGGCGTTATTGCCTCTGCATTAAATGTATGGAACTTGTCCTTCCTTGTAGCTTCTGGCCGCACCAAATGCCTAATCTCTCAATTTGCTGGGGGGTGTCGCCACGAAGCTCTCTCAAACTCTCGAATCTCACAAATTGCTGCCCTGCATAACTTGTGCGCTGGCTGATGCTAGCTCTCGAGGCCGAATTGGCAGCGCACAAGTTATGCGGACATTTGCCTGGAGATGCAACACCGTGGAACCTTCATCCCGTTAAATTTGTGTGCCCCAAAAGTGGCGTTCTGCAGGCTGAAGCGTTAAATTTGGCGCAAAAAGGTTTGGCAGGACCGCGCTTATCACCAAACCTTGATAGGCAGAAGCGCGCTTATCGGGGAAGATTCTGCGGACCCAGTTTCTGGCAATTTAACGCCTGCAGAACAGCGCCAATGGCGCGTTACTGTCAATTAGTGAATGCATGTCAAAGCGTGTATTTGCTGCCACAGTAGATGGTGCTCAGCTGACTGGAGGACCCATTCTCTGATATTCAGATGTGCTGTTCAGCAAAAATTCCCTGTCTCCAGCCAAATCATATTACCGTAGTCCTGTTTAAAAAAAGTCAAATGCAGCCAACTCAAATGCAATACAAATGAAAGAATGTGGTATTGAGGGTTTAAGGCGCTTGTACTAGCGCAGTGACCTAATAATAATCCTACACTCGATTTGGGCATCGTTTGTTTTAAAACCGAAATATAAACTAGTGAAGGCAGACCCAACTTGAAATCGCTGCGAATAGTTCAGGTGATACAACACTGTTCCAAACTAATCGTGTTGGCAGGTTGAACTCATCTGATTGGCTCAAGCCAATCTGAAAATTTCCCCTCCCACCAAAACAATTTTCGAGGCCCAAGTTAGCCGTCGCATTTTTACACGCTGCTCCCCGCACGACCGTTGCCATGCGATCGATTTCATCGCCAGGCCCAACTTCCACTTCAAGTTGGTGTTAGAAACAAGCAGCAGGAATAAATGAACTATGAAAGGGTTGGGTACAAATATGAAACCCTAAAAGGGGCTGTACCCAATATTGGCTACCCCACTACAGCCTAAACATATATAGCATATATATACTTTGACACACCCCCATAGGCAAAGTGGGGGAGAGCAAGGGGTCACAAGACCAGTCAAGAGAAGCAAAGCAAGCTCAGGGTGGATCACAACATCACCACACACACTGAGCACAAGCAAAGGGCCACAAGGCCAGTTCACATCCAGAGGTATATATGCAACAACAGCAGTACAGTGATCTCTACCTAGCAGAACAAACATGCAGGTATATATATATATATATATATATATATATATATATATATATATATATCACAGTACAAGCAAAGTCTACAGCAAGTGAGGAAAAGTGGGCACAAGGCCTAACAAAGTGCAGAAACGCTGATGATCACCAGACGGAAGTGCCTTGGTGAATATATCAGCAGTGTTGGCCCGAGTGGCCACGTGAGCAAGACGAAGCTGACCACGCTGCTGCAACTCTCGAGCCAGGAAGTAACGCAGAACGATGTGCTTCGTTCTGTGCTCCACTCTGTGCTCCTGGCACAAGGCAATGGCGGTCTTGTTGTCGACGTACAGCACTGGAGGAGAACGAGGCCGCTCTTCCAGGTCGGTCAGCAGGTAGGTAAGCCAGCGTAACTCCTGTGCAGCCATGGCTGTGGCGTAGATCTCAGCCTCACAACTGGAGCTGAGAACTGAAGACGAGCGTGTAGAACGCCAAGAAACTGAACCAGAGCCAAGGCTGAAGGTGTAAACCTGTGACGACCGCTGCGTAGCCTGGTCGTCAACCCAAGAAGCGTCTGAGTGCCCAGTGAGGACAACGTCGCTCCGTCCTCCAA